GTCTTTCAAATAAGAGATCGTGGTACCTAAGGGTGATTAGGGGGCTGTGGGGTCATGCTGCTTTCCCCACCCGGCCTGAGGGACCTCAACAGTGGCTGGAGCAGCTGTCTTCTGTCTCTATCAGCAAAAACCACACCACCAGAATGGGGCGGGGGTGATGGAGGGGAGAGCAAGAGTTTCAAAAAGTCACTGAAGCTGTGCTTTTCATCTTTAGCTCCAATCTTAAAGAAAACACCCGTGTTTTAGACACCCCTGGGGTGTAGGAAAAACGGCAGGTTCAGGGTAAGAGTTATAGGAACGGAAAGTTCTGGAGTTGACCCTCAGAGCAGCACGAGCCGTCTCGAAGCCGACTTGCCAAGAAGGAGATGACTCCCAGCCCCTCACGCCTTTCTGAAGGCGACTCTCTAACAGGAGCAGACAGCTGGGGACACACAGGAAGTCTGGGTCTTTTCTGGGTCACTTCCCCACGTTGGTGCTCTTTCTGGGCACACGGGTGCCCCAAACCCCTAGGGTACCTCGGGCCCTGAGGAGGGACTCCACTGTGGGCAGTCCACTTCACTCTCCTCCCTTTGCCGTCAGTACCCCCCGCCCCACCAGAACTTGCTGTCCCCAGTCCCTCGACCCCATGACCTGATAATGGAGGGGGAGACCCCCTCTGGAGTCCCAGCAGTTTCCCCCTCCAGGCCCTTGCTCAGGCCCCTCCCCCTCCGAACCTGCCCTGCCCTCTTCATTGCTGCCTACCCCGGCTCTGCCCATCTGTCCCAACCTGGATGACACCACTCCTGGGAGGATCTCGTTGTGACAGCTGGAGTCTGTGAGGGGCTCGGAAGGATGTAGTCTGTGGTTGTGTCACGGTCCCTTCCTTCCCTCTGCTCAGCCGGTGGCTGGGAGGTGCCCAGGCCAGCTCGGACTCCTGTCTGGACAGTGGAGCTCCAGGGTGGCCTGAGAGGGCAGCGAGGGGCCCAGTGGTCCCCCCACACCTATTCCTGCTTGGTTTCCATTTTTGATGTTCCGATCGCCTGGATTAAAATGCAGGTGTCCTCGTGGCATTTTAGGCTGTTAACCCTTGCTGCCTCTCTAAAGATCACTCAACAGGACGCAGGCCCAGGACAGAGCCTATCAAGTGGCAGGAGAGATGGGAGGAGGACCTCAGGAGGGCTGAGACCCCCATTCCAAGCAGACCCAGCCCTGCACTCCCACCTGCTCCCCTGGGGGGCACTGGGGCTTCTCAGGGCCCAGAAGTGTGGGTGAGCTGGTGGGGTAACCCTTTGCCAGAGTCTCCCTTAGGGTCTAGACGCGAGGGGGTCTCCCAGCCGAGTGCCAGCCAGGCTCACCTGGGAGCATGAGCCCCTCCTGAAAGCAAGGAAGCCCTGGTCGGCGGGCAGAGCTGGGACCCGGCATCCATCACCGGCCCCTCTCCAGGTGGGCCCCGCCCTGGAAGAGGCCTCCTCTGAGAGCCTGGAGTGGCTGAGAGCTCCTCTCCGGGGGTTCAGCAGGACCCCCACATCATGTCAGGCATGAGGCAGAAGGCCAGGCCTCTCAACCCGGGGCCTTGCCCAGGCAGCCCCTGGCTGCCCCCAGGCTCAGAAGAGCCCAGTTCGAGGCCCCGCTCCGCTCCGGCTCCAGGACCTTGAGTAAGGCACTTCCTCTTTCTGGGTCTCCGTTTCCTTGTTGTTAAGTTAGGGGATTGGATTAGGTTTGCAATTTTTCCAAGAGAGAAATCCTTTTTTAAAGAAAATCTTAAGCAGACCCTCAACTTATCAAACATGTGGACGTGTGGGCTCTGAGCAGCCCCCCAGTGATGCCTCCACACAGCTGGCCCCCTGGCCCCCCGGCAGTCACAGCTCCACCAGCATCAGCCGCTCTCCCTCCCGCCTCACCTCCAACGCCTCAGTGCCTCCGTCTCCACTGCCCACTCCAGCCCGGCCACCAGCCTCCCCTTTGACCACCAGCCTCTCCTTTGGCCACCGCAGGGGCCTCCCTGCAGAGTTCCCTGTTTCTGGTCTCCTGACGGTCTGTCCTTAACGCAGCCCCAATCCAAATCAGGTCACCCCTGTGCGACCCCGACACAGGGCCCCAGCCTCACTTGGAGCACCTGCCAAGCCTTTACCCCCACGTGATGGCCGCCTTCTGTCCTGTCTCCCACACTCCACTCCAGCCCCCCAGGCCTCACGGTTCCCAACACACCACCCACATCCCCCCCAGGGACTTGCCTCCCCTTCCCCATCTCCTTGGAGCAGCCTTCCCTGACCACCTGCTCCGGAACCTTCCCTCCGGGTTCCCCACAGCCCTGACCCTGACTTTCCACCTCTTCTCCTGGGAATGTCAGCTGCAAGTGGACAGGGACTGGGTGGAACGCCTCACCCAACACAGACACTGTTTGTCAAACGGGCCTGGAGTGAGTGGGGGAGCCCTGAACAGAGGGAGAAAAAGTGTCTGCCCCCAGGGTCCTGGGCAGCCTGTCTGCGTTTTCCCCAGCCCCTGTTTTCAATAAGGAGACAGAGCTTGCTTGCCAAGATCCTCATGCTCTATTCCAGGGGGCTGACACCCGAGTGACACCTCCTAGCTCCTGGGGGGTGAGGGTGGGAGAGGTCCCCTAGCTGTCCGGGCGTCTGTCTCCTGCAGTGAGCAGGAGGGGCCTGAGGAAGCAGGTGGAAAGATGAGCTCAGCAGAGGCCTGGGGACCCAGCCCTGGGTGGTCAGCGGGGTCTGGGGGTGGCGTGGGGGTGAGGCGTCAGAGATGACCACTCCTCCTCATCTTTGGGCACTGCCACACAGGTGGATGTGCAGCCCAGGGAACAAGGGGTGCAGGGGGTGCCCCTGAGAACTCCCTTCTTGTACTTGAGAGTCAAGAAGGACTGGGCTCCGGAGGGGGGAGCGATCTCAAACGGCAGAAGTCGGAGGGGGACAGACTGCAACCCGAGTTCAAGAATTCCTTTCTTAGGGATCTGCCTGTCAGAAGGGCTGCCCCTGTGGTGGTGAGCTCTCCATCGCTGGAGGTATGCAAGGAATGCTTCAGGAATGTTGTCAAAGGGATTCCTGTACCTGGGGCAAGGTTAAATGAGATACTGTCTAGGAACCCTTCCAACCCAAAAGGTCCTCCTAAATAAAGGGATGTTTTTAGCAACAAATCAATATTTACCCAACACTTAGGATGTCCCAGGTACTGTTCTAAGCAGGTCTGGGCTGGCGCGTTAACCCCTAAATACTAACTCATCCGATCCTCACAGCCACCCCTTGAAGCAGGTGTTCCTTTTACCCCCAATTTACAGATGAGGCACGGGCCAGCCTCTTGTCCTGGGTTAACAGCTGGCAGGCAGGGGGTTACACTCAACAAACAACAATAGTGATAATAATAACTAGGAAGAGTTTACCCCTTGGGCCAGTGTGCAAAACTTTTTATGCATTATCTCATTTAATCCTCCAAACAACTCTAAGGGGTAGCTACTATTATTTATCTTCATTTTATAGATAAGTAAACTGAGGCACAGAGAGGTTAAGTCACTGGCCCGGTGATGAACAAAGAAAGGCAAGAGGAAGTGGCTAAGGCCAGGTCATCTCTAGTGAAAAATGGGAAGTTGGCCAGGTCAGGACCCTGGCCCCTCACCCCCACCCCTCCCTGGTAAATTCCCCCTAGCTCTACCCTGCAATATTGGGGTGGTGGAGACGTGCCCCTGGGGAGGCCCCTTCCCCACAGAATTTCCAGTTCCTCCCACCGGACGGCAGTTGTCTTTCCAAAGGTCCCTTCCACGGGAAAGCTTCCAGGCAGAATTTCCGGGTGGGGGAGGCGGTGGGGGAGGAGGAGGAGGGAAGCATTCAGAGGAGCTGAAGGGCCCCTCCAGGCCACCTCTCCCTGCAGAGTGGGAGCCAGTCCCCTCCAGCTGCTTGCTCCCCAATCCCGGGCTGTGCAAGATCAACCCAACCCTCTTGTTTTACAGAGCGGAGAAGCGAGGCCTGGGAGCTGAGGTCACGGAGCTAGGCCAGACAGCAGCCGGGTGTCCAGCACAGAAGTAGGCCCGGGACTTTCAAACCCAAAAGTCAGCAATGGCTCCCCCGGGGGCGCCCATCAACCCTGGCACCCAGAAAGGTTCTAAGACGCTTTCCCAGGAATCCGCCTCCGAACGGGAGCCTCCTCAACACCCTGAAGCTTCTCGGGACTCCCGCTGGGCTGGGCGGGGATGGGGGGTGGGGGGACCTTCTCCGCGGTGCAGCGCAGCCTGGAGCAACGTCCAGAAGCCCGAGGTTGCCAGGCGGGGGTGGGGGACATGACACTAGACACGAGACCGCTCTCGAAAGCCAGTTCCCAAACCAGTTAGGTTCCACGCACTCCAAGCTGTGCCTTCTCCCAGGGGATCCCGCAAGCCACGCGCAGCCCGTGCGCCCTGGACCCTCCCCAAGCACCAGGCTTGGCAAAGGGCGGTCCGAAGGTCACCGTCTCCGGACCCGCCAGAGGGGCGGGGGAGGGGAGCCCCGTGGGTCCTCGGTCTAGGCGGGCTGGGCAGCCGTTGGGTCGCGGGTGGCTGAAGTTACTGGGATCCGTGTCCCCCACCCACGCCGGGCCGGGCGCCAGCGCCGGAGGACGCGCGCGGGGACGCAGGCGAAGCGGGGATGCGGGCGGCTGGCGGGGCCCGGAGCGCGCGCGATGGCATCTAAAGTTCAGGGGGACAGGAGCCCCTGGAGGGGGTCGCGTCCACACAGCCCCTCCGCCCCGGCTCTGACAGGCAGAGACGCCCTTCTTGCACCCGCCCGCCCGCCCGCCCGCTGTGCCGGCGGTTTTGCATGGAGAGACGTCTGGGCTTAAAAGTTTAACTAAGTCGCCGGGTCCTGCAGAGTCACCAGGGCCGCCCCCTTCCGCGCAGAACCGGGCTCAGGCCTTGGCCGTAGCCGGGGGTTCGGTCTCGCGGCCGGGGCTCCTCCGGGAGCTGCGAGCCCTCTCAGGCGCGGGGAGGCGGAGTGGGGCCCGGGGCACCGAGGGAGGAGGGCGCGCCCGCCCGGACTTACCCCGCGGGGTCCCCGCGCGCGGGCGCCCCGGCCAGTCGGATCATGCCTCCAGCAGCTCGGGAACGGCGATCGGAGGGGCTCAGGCGCCGGGCGGCGCGGGCCGCGGTGGCCTGGGCGCCCGCATGGCCCTGGCGCTGGCCCTCTGGAAGGGCCCGGGCGGGCGCCGCCGCCAGCCCCGCGCCGGGTGGGGAGCCGCTGCGCTCGGAGCGCCCGCTCCCTTCCACTTCCTGTATCGGGGCGCGCGGGCTTTCAGGAAGAGGCTGGCCTTGGTGGTCAAGGGGGTTTTGTCGAAAGCCTGGCGGCGGCGGCTCGTAGCCCGGAGCCCCCTGGGGCACACGGAAGCCGGCGGCCGCGCCCCCGGGGCCGGGCCTGGCGGCGGGCGGCGTCCGGCCGAGGCGCCGCTGCGGGCGCCCCACGGCGGGCTGCTGCCTCTGCGGGCTGGGGCGGCGGCGCGGGCGGCCCCGGAGACCCGCAGGGACGCCTGGAGGAACGTCTCCAACTCTGCCAAGAGTCGCGTGGGAAGGAGGGCGCTCCCCGCTGCTCCCGCCCCAGCCGCGGACCGGCAGGTGGGGAGACCTGAGCTCTGCGCCGGGCACGGCCTCCCGCCTGGAGGAACCTCAAAATTGCCCAAGGGCAGCCCCAGACCAGAGGCAGGGCGCCTCCTCCACGTCCCTGACAGGTGGCCACGCTGCCTCCTCTTGGATGCCTCCACTGACGATGAGCTCACGACCGCACAGGCAGACTGTCCATCCCCCAAGCCAGGCATCTTAATTCACCTATCCTGGGTACACACCTAGATGAGAGAAGAGGGAAAAAGCCAGTCAGCTCACACAAATACAACATCCACACCAGGAGGCCTCTCTTCTAAGTGCCTGGACACTCCAAAATGCCTCCTGAGCCGGTGTTGCCCTCAGGGCATTTCACAGTGACTGGGCAGGACTGGACTCCACGGGGTCACCTCAATCTAATGCAGGGTTTCTTGGCCTTGGCACTATCGACATTCGGGGGCAGGTAATGCTTTGCTGTGGGGGGCTGTCCCGCATATTGTAGGATGGTTAGTAGCACCCTGGGCCTCACCCACTAGACACCAGGGGCATCACCCTCTCCTGTAACAACACAAATGTCTCCTGCCTTTGCCAAATGTCCCTAGTTGAGACCCGCTGGTCTAAGACTGCATTTTGTAGATAAGAAAACTGAGACTGAAAGGGAGGAGGTGACGCCAGAGGCCGCACGGCAAGTGGAGGTGCAGACGGGGCTGAGGCTGGGGCTCTGGTAAGAGCATCACGAGGCCTCTTTGCCCTCCACACCTCTGCCCTTCGGCTCCCCCCTCACAGCCTCCTCCCTTCTTCCCTGGCATTCACGCCAGATCAGCCTGGCAGACAGAGAGGAAAGAGCCCACATCCATAAACACGTGGAAAGTGCAGCCTCCTGGTGGGGAAGTAACTGGTGCAGCTGCTGTGGGAAACAGCCTGGGAGTTCCTCCAAAGGTGAACCAGCACTGCCCTGTGACCCAGCCGTTCCACCCCTAGGTGTGGACCCAAGAGAAGTGAACACGTGTTCACACAAAAACTCATACTCGAATGATCACAGCAGCTTTATTCATAATGGCCAGAAAGTGGAAACAAGCCAAATGTCCATCAACTGATGAATGGGTAAACAAAATGTGGTATGTCCATACAACGGAACAGTATTAGGCCATAAAAAGGAATGAAGTACTGAGTCATGCTACAACATGGACGAACCCGGAAAACATTATGCTAATGAAAGAAGCCAGTCACAAAAGGACCACATACTGTAGGATTCCATTTCTATGAACTGTCCAGAAGAGGGAAATCCGTAGAGACAGAAAGTAAATTGGTGGTTGCTCAAGGCTGGGGGGAGAGAGGAGAATGGGGAGTGACTGCTAGTGGCTACAGGGGATTTCTAGGGGGAGGCAAACAAAATGCTCCAACACTGTGGTTATGGTTGCACAACTTTGTGGCTATGCTAAAAGCCATTGAGTTATAGACTTTAAGTTGGGTGAACTGTATGGTATGTGAATTATATCTCAATTCAACTATTTTATTTTTAAAATATAGCCTCCGGGAGGCCACCCGGACTGCTCCAGCCACATCACTTCCTCCTCTGCCCAGATCCCTCCAGGCGCCCTCACTAGGTCATAACCATGCCCACTGACCCTTCCTCTCCCCCAGAGCAGGGGTCGTCTTCTCCACATCTCCCTGGATGGGGCTGGAGCTCCCTGTCTGCAAACATCGGCTTTGAGGACAGACTTGTGTTCACGTGCAACCCCAAGGCCTCCAGGTGGGAATCTCAGGCCTGGTTCCTTCCTGGTGCCCAAGCTGGCTCATCTGTGAAAGTGGTGAGGACTGATGGAGAGGCAGCAGGCACTGGCTCCAGGGTACCATTATTAGTCCTTTGCTGTTGCTACAACAAGCCCATAGGCCACTCCCAGGGCCCCAGAGACGAGGTCTATCTGACTATCACACCTCAAACAGTCCTTCAGACCCTCCTGAGCTGATCTCGACTGTGAGTAACCCCACTCTTCCATGTCCCCCGCCTTCAAATAAAGCTTCAGCTCCCTGGGCCACTGCTGAGAAACTCAGGACAAGGCCGTCAAAGCCGGAGCTCCATGGGACCCGCCCCAAGGCTCTCACGATGTCCCCATAGAGGCCTGCATAAGGCGTGCTGCTCACCTGCTCTGTGAAGATGGAATTCCTCCTGCGGGCACCAGATGAGGCCCCACCCTGACCGCGTTGCTAGTTGCTGACCGAAGAGATTGCCAACATTCCAGAAATCTGAGCAGCCTCTCTTCGCTGTGGCCTCTGCCAAGCTTGCCCTCAGCTCCCTTTCTAGGTCCCCTTTTCACTCCCAAGTCCTCGCACCCCCCACTCCTCCCCCAGGACGTGGATATCAGGACTCCTGCTGGGCAGGGAACATGCGCTGCTGTTCCAGCCTGCCAGCTCCCTCCCCTCCCCTCGCCTTTTTTTGTTAACAGTCCCCCAGCGCCTGGTATCCATTTGAGGAGCCACCTCTCCCCAGGTGGGCTCGAGTGGAGATGACAACCCCTACCCCCATGTTAGAGGGAACACGTGATTCTAGTCCGGCCAATCAGAGTCCTACTCTTCCCTGGCACAATGATTGGCTCATGGATGAGCACATGACCCCAGTTGGACCAATAATATCCCTCCCTGGGGCTTTTTGTTAGGAAACACCAGCAGCCTGCCCCCGCCCCCAGCTGGCCTTAAGCGGGGACCCCGTAAAGTTGGGGCAGCCCAACGGCCACCTGGGACACCGTGTGGTGAAACTGTACTCCAGGAGAAAGCCGGATGCAGGAAGCAGTGCGGAAAGAGACTATGTCCCAGTGACATCCTTTGAGGCCCAGATTCTGATTCGCTGAAACCCACCTGCACCACGAGACAGCTCAGTTACAAGACCCGATCCACTCCTTTTTATTTTCTCCTTTTTTGAAAACTCAAACACAATCTGAGTCGGGTTTCTCTTCGTCGTCACCCATAGGCGCCAGCAATCCGCGATGGCAGCCCCTCCCTCCGTCTCCCATTCCTTGCTGGGTCTGGAGGAGGTCCCGCTGGGACAGGACTGTGGGAAGGGAGAGGCGAACCTTCAACTCAACGCCCCAAAACAGAAGAGGCTGGTTTGCATCTCTGCCCTCCCCACAGACAAGGCAGATCTACTCGGACCCGAGGGGGAGTGGGCGAAGGTCACCTGGGAGGTCAACTCCAATCCTCGCTGCAGTTTCTGGGGACTATTAGGGAAGAAAAAAGTCCCACAGCACAGTCTGCCTTTTCAACCCCCCCAAACCTTGCTCTGGGGTGGATACGGGCCTTTGAGCAAACAAAGCATGCTCTTTGAACAGAAATGTCCCCAGATGTGCAGAGCAGCCGATGTGGGGGGGGGGGGGGGGGGGAGAGCGTGGGGGGAGTGGCTCGCGTCATGCTGCCAGTGTTCAAATCCCCGCTGTGTATCCTTAGGCAAGCGGCTCAGCCTCTCTGTGCCTCGGTTTCCTCATCCGTGAGAGGGGATAATAACGGTGCTACCTCACAGGGTGGCCGCGAGGGTTAGCTGAGCTGATCTAGGTAAGGGCCTTAGAGCAGAGCCTGGCTTAGCGCTCCATAATATTAGCCATTGTGTGCCCTATGACTAAGGCCCTTTAATGCATCAGTCAACCTCACAGGCAACAAATGGCACTTCCGATAGGATCATTGGAGGAGAGTGTAATAGAGGTGTGGGTGGGGAAGGACAAGGGGGAGATGCCATAACCCTCCCGATCTGTCATCTTCCCCAGCCCACAGCTGGGCGGGGGGGGGGGATGGTTACCAGATGCAGAAGCCGAGAGTCCTGTCCTGGAGAAAGGCCCCAGGGGAGAGGAGCAGGGACCCTCAGTCCAGGACGCAGCCCGCTCACGTGACCCTGAGGGAGGCAGCCAGGAAAATAAAGACTCTGACTCCCCTCCTTTCTTCCCTCCAATGTCCTGCAGCCGGCCCCCCAGTCACCAAAGCCAGTTGGAAGCCAGAGGGTGGGGAGCCCCCTGGTCAGTCCCTGCGGCTATAGAGACGGCCGGGGGGAGGGCGGGAGGGCAGAGCTGTGGAATCGGACAAGCTGGGCTCTGCTCCGCCTCGGCCTCTGGCTGGGAACCTGGGGCAGACCAGCCAAGGTCCCACACTTGTGAGCGAAGCCATCTTGGACCCTCCAGACCAGCCCATCTCCTGGCTAAATGCCGTGCGGTCACCTCTGTCAATGTCACATGGCACAGGAAAGCCGCTAGACAAGCCCCGCCTGAATTCCTGACTTGTAAAATCGTGACATGGGATAAAGTGGTTGCTTTTTGAGATACTGGGTTTTGCAAAAACAGCTCATTCTGTGCCTTTTTCCATCTTCTTCTGACCCCCAACAAGCCCGCCACATCTCTACTCCCTGTTACTTTGGAGAAATCTTTAAAAACAGAGGAGGAACAAAGCTTTATTATTGCAAAATCCATCAGTATCCTTGGGGGTCAGCCAGGAGACAAATGTCCCCACTGCCTGGCCCGGGGCGGGGGTCGCCTGGGGACCAGGCTCTGTGAAGGTGGCAGCCTCTTCTCTGTTCTCACCAATAGCTGCCCAGCAGGAATGCAGGCCTGGGCATACAAGGCCTTACAGTTAAAAAAGAAATACTGGAAATCTGGATTTTTATAGGACAGTTTCTGATTGCTAAAACATCGTACTGGCTAGAGAAGTACTTCTGAGGACCGGGTCGCCCGATGCGGGCTGGCTTGGGGTCTGATCAGGGCCTCCTTACGTCCGTCCACTCCAGGACTCCATGTGGCAGGAAGGGGATCTGACACAGGTGTGGGGGTGCCTCATGGAACCCAGGGACTCCCCAGGTTCTGGAAGGGATGGGCCCTGATAGTCATGCTCTGGTCTCTCGCCGGGGACCATGCAAGCTGTCTTCAGCATCACTCTCTGGGATTCTGCCTCGTCCTCTTCTCTCTGCAGACCCCTATCTTTCCTCCCTCCTCTCTGCAGACACAGTGCCCCACAACCCCCAAGTTTTCATGTCTCGGTCACAGCTATGCAGAGACTGACCAGCAGCCTGCAGGCCCAATTCCTACTTCTC